TTTTTTCTATTAAATAAAACTATCCATGGAACAGAAACACATGGACTCCATGAAGGGAAACTGACCCCTGAGAAAAAGTTAGGCTCGGTTAGAATGGAAAATACAGGAACTAGATGCTGGGTAGCAACAATGATTTCACTACAGCCCTGCTCTCTTCCCTGAAGTGATGTGACATCAAACCAGGGGGAATGATAAACAGGCAGTCAAACTGCCATCAAACGAGATGCACATTCCCTTCAGCCCTTTCTTATCATCTCTTTTGACATCACTATAACCTCCTTGGATAAAATGAGCAACACTATGGCATACCCCTGATCTTTCCTCATCTAGGCCCAAGGCTTCCCCAGGCTTTTTGTCCCTTATTTCACCTTCACCAACACTGACATCTCCTAAGAAAATTGTCTACTGCTTTACACAGAGCCCAGGGATCCAGAGACTTGTGAAGCTACCTCTGGTTCTTTTAGCCACAACAATTATTTCGGTTAAGACTGACCTACAATCTTATGTCCTGTGAAGTCTGCCCTTTGGGGCTGCCATCAACTTGGTATGCAGAAGCAAAATGCTTTTTCAACTAGCAAGGTCATTTTGGTCAAGTGTTTCAGTCATTTCAAGGGCATCAACCTCAGAGATACATATACAAACTGATATATAAAGATGCTTATTGTATTAATGCAAACCAAATAGCCTGAACAACACAGAAAATTGGATCCATTCCCATAATGCAGACTACTGAATAGTTTGACTGCAATAACTACATCTGTATGCAGCAACATGGATACATCAAAATATCTAGTGTTAAGTGGAAAGGGGAAAATTATACAAATAAAATTAGATTTCACATTATTCAAAAATTTAAAGCAGCAACTATATAAAAGGACAGATCCAAATAATACACACTAGCAACAACAGCGGGATTTCTAGATAGGAAGAACTCTGAAAGGGATATTTGGAATGCTTCAACTGCATCTATATTTTGTTTCGGTTGGAGCAAAGGGAACTGAAGTCAATTTGGCAAATGTAAACAGTAATTCTGAGATAAGTACTTGTATCTGTACTTTTCTGTAAATTAGAATATTTTTTGAAAAGTAAATCTTTCACATATTTTTTAAATGATGGCCACTTGTTTACTGTACACCAGTGTTCCCTACATTTTGGGTTTTCACAGTGCTGTAGGTTATCGCGTTGGCCCAAGTATATGCTCGGCTTCCTGCAGGAAGTTGTACATCCTCACAGGCTGAAGTCCAGAGGCCAGAACTCACCTGTTCTCAAGAAACATAGGAGGAGGTAGTATGTGTTCCTTTGGAGCAGAAGTTTTGAGATAGTGCTCATGATTTTCTAGGCCTGTTTTTTCCCCTTTGCCAGGAAATCAGTTATCCCAAACCAGGGCCATGCTGCCATGATCTGGAGGAAGAAGCAGGGCCATGGCAAGCCCTCAGTGAGTATGTAGATGAACAGAAAGAAAACAAACATGGTGACAAGTCTCTGAGATTTGGGGCTGTCTGCTGCCTCTGCATAATTTATGGCTATCCTGACTGGTATAATTTAAAAGCAAAATAGGAAATGGGAGCCAACACAGCATGGCTGATGTGATTTTAGAAAAACAAGCCTTCCAGAATGACTATGAATCTCCTAACATCACTTTTTTCTTTTTTAAAATAGAAGACATTATACAGAAAAAAAAAAGAACTTAGTCAATTCAACATTGAAAATGTGTGTGCATACATGTATGCATCTGGGTGAGTATGCTATGTGTAGTGTATCCTCACATATGTGGCTGTACATGCCTTGTGCACACCGAGAGGGACATGGCTGGTGCCCTGCTCCACCATGCTCTGCCTTAGTCCCTTGAGACAGGTTCTCTCACTGAACCTGGAGCTAGGCTGACAGCCAGCAAGCCCCATGATCCTACTGCCTCCATGCCCCACAGCACTGGAGGTACAGGCATGCACAGCCATGACCAACTTTTTACATGGTTGATGAGGTTTCGAGCTCAGGCCCTCACACTTGCACAAGTGCTCTTACCCACTGAGTCATCTCCCCAGGCCCAACATTGAAAACTTAACTATGTCCCTTACTACATTCTAGAGAGCTTCATCACAGTCTGGCTTTTCAGAAAAACCAGTGACTTTGCCCTGCCATGAGTAGACTTTTAAAAGGACTCATATATTCTAATCATTTTCAGATAATCCATTTTCTTCATATCCTTCAACTTCATTTGTATTCATTTCTAAAATATATTTGCCAATTGTATTAGTTAACTTTCTATTGCTGTGATAAAAACAGTGACCAAAACCAACCTGGCAAGGAAAGGGTTTATTTGGCTTACAGCAATAGTCCATCATCAAGGGACTGCAAGGCAGAAACTCAGGGCAGGAGCTGGAGCACAGATCATGGAGAGCGCTGCTTACTGGTTTGCTCCCCTGGTCAGGGCTCAGGCTGCTTTCTTATACAATACAGAACCACCTGCCCAGGGGTGGCACCACCCACGGTGGGCTGGGCCCTCCCACATTGCTCAACAATCAAGAAAATGACCCACAGGCTTGTCCACAGGCCAGCCCAGAGGAGGAAATTCCTCAATTGAGGTCCCCTCTACCCAGGCGTGTCAAGTTGACAACTAAAGCTATCTAGCACACCAAGGTAATCTCTGGCCAGCTGTTGGGCTCTTCTCTGCACCCACCTCTCCTGTCTCTAAGTCCTATCACTCATCACAGAAGGACAGACTCTCTCCTAGTCAAAGGAAGGTAACAGAGTGTGTTGTCTGAGTGTGGAAACCACAGGATTCCATCCCCACCACACCAGTAGGGATGACTGCCGCACAGCAAGACTGTCTATGCTGAGAGTCAGCTTCCCTGATGATGAGAGATGCATTCCAAGCCCTGGTGGGTCTCCAATTTTTTCTATCAACACCTTGAAGCAGGGACCAACCCAGTTGCCCACTGATGAAAAAATAAAAAATTATTAAAAGTATACAAGTCCCTTTGGGAAAGAAATTAAAAAACCATTTTTAAAAAAACCGAGTTAACATTACCTAATGAAATTTCTCCCATTTTCATTACTTATTTCTGGAGTTGATATTTCTTGAGGCTTGTAAGTAGTCATGGTGGACCCATCACATAGAAATTATGTTATTTGTCATGAATATGTAAGTATTTAAGGCCTTAGACACCTAAGAGATAAATTTCAAAATAAAACATTAGTTTTGAATGTTCAATTATTGATTAATATTTTAAATATATTTGGGCTTTTAATATGTACTAAAAATATATATAACTAAAGCCTCATAATCAAGCAAAGAAGCACAATTTAAATTTAATTCATTTATTTGTTACAGAGACCATACATAGCATCATATACACAACAAGGCATTTGAAAGGTATCTCTATAAATCATGAGGATGAGTCTGTTGGGGAACTGAGGGTCACACACTAGCTCAAGGAAGAAAGGGAAGTATGTAAAAATTACTCATTTAAAAGAGCTTGCTCAGCCGGGCCTGGTGGCCCATGCCTTTAACTCCAGCACTTAAGAGGCAGAGGCAGGCAGATCTCTGTTAGTTCAAGGCCAGCCTGGTCTACTAGTGAGTTTAGGTGAGCTGGTACTACAGGGAGATCCTGTCTCAAAAACAAAAAAACAAAACAAAATAAATAAAAGAGCTTGCTCATATCATTTAAAAATAGATGCTATGTATCAAACCCTATTGTGTCTAGATCACATAGTTTTGTATTCGTGAGAACAGCGACAGCCTTATTTTCAATATTAATATTTACAGGCCGCAGAATATTATATTCCTTACAAGAATTTTTAAAAGTACTGAAGAAGCAATATGCTATGCATGCAGAAAGACTGATGGGACCGAAGGAGTTGATGAAGGTCTGATTGTGACCCAACGCCAGACCAACTTCATCTGCCCCATGACACAGCTGGAAATGAAGAAACCAGGGAAAAAAAAGCGTGTGGCCACCTACGAAGAGGAAGCCATTGTTCGCATGATTGAGTCCAAGCACAAGTGGAAGAAGGCCTGTTTCCCTCAAATTAGCTGTAGCCACACAGACAAGAGGCTGCCCGACCTCATCCCAGATGAAGCCCTGAGACGGGCAATCGAGAGCCACAAGAAGAAAAAGCACCATCCTCAGTAGCATCAGGCCTCCTGGCCACCGGGACATCAGCAGCTGCTCCACCCCAGCAACCAGGGAAGTCAGTTGCCGGCTGGCTGCCCAGCTTGCTCACTCAGAGGAAACCTGATGGGCTCATCCTGACTGAATGCATTTTTTTAAGTTACATAATAAAGATGCAAGCACATTTATGTTGTTTATTGTCAACTGTTCTATAATTTCAAATAAAATTTTGGTTATCTGCAAAAAAAAGAATTAAATAAATAAATAAATAAATAAATAAATAAATAAATAAATAAATAAATAAATAAATAAATAAATAAATGTTACTTTCAGGGGTAAGTGAGCAAAACTTTCTGAAGACCCCCACCGCGAGCTCCTCTGAGCTGCGTTCTCAGCCCAGCGGGGTCCCCGCGCGCCTGTCAGGCTCCCAGTACTGTCCACAAGGTGGCGGTAGTGTCCGCACAGCGTGCTGAATTTCCAAAGCTAGATGACTTCCAAACCATTTCCCTTGTTCGGGTTGCAATCAATATGTTAAATAAACAGTTTATATTTCCACTGTGACTTATAACTGCTGAATTTTCAAGGTATTTCATTAAATTTTCTTGTCATGTAACAAACTACACTCATAAATACCAGAGCTATGTAAATCTTTCTCTCTCGCCTGGGAATGACCCGGATATTAAATTTCTCCTTTAGATTCATCTCTGTTTTTCTCTTCCTCATGCGATGCTTGCACACTCGGCCTACTCCCTAACTCCAGTTGCTAGGCAACTAAAAAAGCTTTGTTGTTTTTGAACACTAACCATTAACTGCCCTCATTTTCTCCAACCAGAACATGGCTGCAGCCCAAATCGCCTCCTCTTTAAAAAAAAAAAAAACAAACCAAAAACAAAAAACAGAGCAGGATGCTTATGACTTAAGTTAGTAGCAAGACAAATCACGTAATAGGCAACTGCAGGAAGAGGAAGACTGGAATGCTAGAGCTTCTCTGGGCACAGCACCCAAACACTGCAGGAGCAAGATCACGATTTTATTGAGCACTTACTAAAGGCCAAGCACTCTGGTAAGTTTATGAAATGTATTATTTCTTTTAATCTTCACAAAATATTATTTAACACCCAGTCCACTATACTTTTTAAATACTTCATTATTTTCATTTTATGTGTATATTGCCTGCATGTAAGTGCACACATGTTATGCAATGTGTGTGGAGGTCAGAAGAGTGCAGTGGATCACCTGGAACTGGAGTTATAAATGGTTGCTAGATACCATGTGGGTGCTGGGAACCAAACCCATGTCCTCTACAAGAGCAGCCAATGCTCTTAACTGCTGAGCCATCTCTCCAGCCTCTGACTATGCTTTTTGAGAACAGCACTATATGAGAGGTACACTGTCTCAAAAAGATGACAGAAAGAAAGAAAGAAAAGAAAGGTACACTGCTTAGAAGGGAAAATGTAAACAGACAACTGGAACATCTGTTAACAGAGCCATCTTAGGCATACATACATTTTTATACTTTTTTTTTAATCGCATGCTGGCCTTGAACTCCTGATCCTCCTGCCTCAGCTTTCCAAGTGCTGTGGTCAACAATACCTGGTTGCAAATTTTTTAAAATTTTCTTTTGATCTTCCAGATGGGAAAGGTGATGCCCACAGAAATTGAAACATTTGCGTTCACAAAATCAGGAAGTAGCAAAAATATATTCTGTCAGACTCTAATGCCATTACAATGCATGGCTTCTTACTCGTATTGGGTTCAAAATATTATAGAAGTTATTATCATTCTACCTCCTTGTTCAACATGTAAAAGTGAGATGAGAATTCTATATTGAAATTCTGGCAGATCACCACAGAACATGAGGGTAATACTGCAGTCCTTGCAGGAGTGGACTGGGGTGCCCTAGTTTGTTTCTCCATTGCTGTGACAAAACATTCCGACCAATACCAACTTGGGGAGGAAAGGGTTTATTTGGCTTACAACTCCCAGGTCACAGTTCATCAGGGAGCCCAAGGTAGCCTCAGGGCAGGAACCTGGAGGCAGGAGCTGGAGCACAGGCCATGGAGGATCACTGCTTATGGACCTGTTCCCCTGGCCCCTGCTCAGCCTGCTTTCTTATGCAACACAGGCCCACCTGCCCAGGGTGGCACCACCCACAGTGAGCTGGGCCCTCCCACATCACTCAACAATCAAAAAGATGCCCCACAAACATGGCCACAGGCCAGTCCAATGAAGGCAATTCTCCCACTGAAGCTCCCTCAACCCAGGTATGTTGACACTAAAGCTACCCAGCACATGGGGTGACTTTGGAGTTTGTATAACCTCAGAAAATGACCCCTTGTTTGAGCCTCAGTTTTCCCACTGTAAAAAGAAAGCTAAGTCGTCTATGCCTCAGGGGTATGATTTGAAGATTTACAGTGTGTATTAACTAGACTTTGTTATTCTCCTATAATAATAATAATACCCCAAAATGTATAATGGCTCAAAACTTAAGTTTTCTCCTCATTGACAATACACCTCTCCTTCAGTATGTCAATGGCAGCTCTGCCATCTTCAACACATGACCTTCCGTTGTCACCCAGGGCATTATTGCCACCCATATGATCTTGAAATGGGAAAGAATGAGAACAGCATGTTTGGGAGGCTTTTAAAAGCCAAACCTAGAGGCAAATGCTTGACTTTCCCTCACACTGAATCAGACAGAAGCTCAGGCACATAGATACAGCCACCCACAAGGGGCTTCAAGATGCAATCTCCTTGTAGGGTTTAGTCAGGTTAAGGTTAAACACTACACACACTGTGTTCTTAAGATACACCAGGCATTGCTCTAAGCAATTCCATGTAGTAATTCAATTAAACCTTACAAAACTCCTATGAAGTAAGCACTCTTATCCCCATGTGTAGAGTGGAGCCCCAAGATGATGCAATGGGTGTCCTTCAACGGGTAAGTGGTGGATCCAAGGTTTGAACCCAGTCTGATGTCAGTGCGTGCACACAACACACACACACACACACACACACACACACACACACACTATATGATTTGACCCTGAAAGTGGGGGAAAGAATAATACCCAAGGAAACCACTCCTGCTAGACTTGAGATCTGCAGTAATCTGCACTGGGTACAGAACTAATTAGAGGTAAAGGAGAAGGCCTAGAGGCAGCCAGGGGACTGTGGATAGATGTTGACTTTATAGCTCTGTTTCTTCATCTGGGCATTCATAAAAGTTAGCATGCAGAAAATCCCTAGAAAGCTGGAACTGTGTCAAGGCCCAAGACTGTACTTGAAAAAAGCACCTCCTGTAATTATGATGCAATTCATCCTTGGGCATCTTTGGGAAACTGAACTGTGCTCCATCCAGACAAATTCATACCTTGTGCAACTCATGGCTCAGGACAGACAGGTGTGTCACCTCTCGCCTATTTCGGTGTTACTGAGACAGAGTGAAGTCAGGACAGAATAAGCGAACTCAGATTTCACTTGATACTACAGAGTCAGGGAACACAGCCTGTAAGACAATGAAAAAAGACAGTTTGGAAGAGGATGAAGATCAATACCTCTCTGTCATGTGGAGAAGAAAGAAGAGATTAACATTTCCTGCCAGTCTCCTCCTCAAATGCCTAAAAGTATCTAATTAGGTTTGCATAATCTAGGTTTAACAGAAGAGGCCTATTTCTGTAATTTTAAGGACCCCTCTGCCCATTCTTTCCATTTATTTTCTTACCTGTTTATGTAAAGTTCCTTTACCAGGAATAATCTTTCACTTTAGAGTTCAATGTAAAACACAAAATCTAAATGTCTAGATGAGGTCATGCTTAATTTGAATGTGTTTCAGCAGAGTGTCATTAGCTGGTCAACAAGTGCATAGAAATACTCAACAGACCTTTCCTTGCTTGGATAAGGCAAACTAGTAAAGGAAACAGGAAGATCTTACTGTAACTAAAACAAAGAAAGGCCATAAGAATGGGGGAGCATGAATACTAAAAATGAAATACTTTAGCAAAAATACCAGCAAGGAAATAACTAGCCTGTGTCTAGCTTGGGATGCTGTCCTGCCGAGCTCTGTAGAAGGGTAGGTTTGTCACACAAGCAAATGAGTAGCTCTTTGGCATACTTTATGAACTTTTCTTAAATTAATTCTCTTTCAATTTTCTTCAATTTACTTTTTAATGAAGGCAGTGATTATGTTGTGGTATAATGTATGGGCTACAAAAATCAAGTCTAAAATTAGATTCACAACTCATCTTATTGCTAAATGGTGGGTATCTTTCCAGACTAATGTAATAACTTATACTCCCACGACACTATGCAAAAGTAGAAAATTCATGAAGCATATCTCCTTCCTTAGAATATGCTAAAAATCATAGTGTGGTGCATGCCCTGGAACTGTTCCAGGTTGGAAGGACCCCCTGACCCTCGAGCTCAGCATGAAGTTGGGAATTCTGCTCACTGGGATGGGATCTTTGTGGCCCTTTATAAGTCATTTAGCATTTCTGAACATCAGCTTCTTCCTCCAGCAACAGGATAGTCACAGTACATGATGTGTCTGACACAACCTCGAGAAATTTAGGATGTAGCAACTTCCACTGAAATTTCTTAAACATTTGTTTTCTTAATGCATTAGGATATCCGTTTGCATATGCTTCCAAGTTTCTTGTATTTGAAAGTGCATCTGTTTGCATTTCTTAAGTTTTGTGTATGTTGTGGTATTTTTAAAATATGCGATGGCTGCCACAATCAGTATTTACCTGACTTTCAGCATTAGAATCACTTAGGAAATGACCTAAGGCTTGAAAGTGGATCAGACATCTTATAATCATGAAAATATACACAGAACATCTAGTAAAAATAGAACAGAAAGATGGGATGCAGTGGGGTCCTGAAGGAAGATTTATCCTGGCCCAGGCTATCTGTCTATATCTTCTATGTCAGAAAAATAAATCCTTTTTTGCTTCTGTCACCATAATTTGATTTCTACTGTTTGTTGACAAATGCATTCATATCAATACATAAAATCAAAGCCATTTTCAGACGGTCCCCGCCTTTTTCTAGGATGGAGTGTGGTGGAAACTAGAAATCAGGAGAATAAATCTAATGGGAGATTGAGGCCAGCCTGCTCTACATAGCCAGTTCCAGGCCAGCTGGGGTCATGGGGAGACCCTGTCTCTTTTTTTTTTTTTTTTAAAAAAAAAAAAAAAAAAAAAAAAAAAAACACTCATGGAAATGGAATGGCCAGAAGATTTTTGAGACTATAAAGCTTGTTGTTAAATGCTGTTTACAGTGTTGTATTGTTATCATAAAGTTGATTAACCTTGGTAGAGTTGTATGAATGGAATGTGTGAATTTGAATCAGAAAGAGATCTAATGGCCTATGTGGTAGTCAACGTCCCAAGATCAAACTGACCTTAGGGTCAGGATGTAAATTTTGGGATAAAATCTAAGCTTGCCCTTTGGGATAAGATCTAGGTTTGCATTGTGATATCTAAAGCTGAATTTGAAATTATTGAACTTGGGTATTTAGGGTTGGACAGCCTCTGGCAAATATTTAGATAATGTGCCTTAAATCTAACAACATTGCTGCAAATAAGTCAAACTAAAGTGTCCTAATAGTATATGCTTTCTATTATGATAGTACAATGCTTTTAAGTATGATTTATTTTCTTTTCTAAACACATAGTGAATTGATTCTTGTGGACTATGCTAAAAAAATCATTCAGTAATTTAGAGTGTTGTGTGTTCCCCTCCAACCAAGGCTCAGGGACCATTGCAGAAGATGGGGTGGAAAGACTATAAGAGCCAGAGGTCAGGGAGGACTGTGACAAAACAGCTTCCTCTGGACATGGTGGGATAGCTGCACTCATAAGCTCATAGATGTTGTGGTTGTCTGCACAAGACCTGCACATTATCAAGACAGTCAACATTCCAGTATGGAATGGGGAGGGACTCCACCCATAGCTGAGGAGCTATTGATGATTGATAGCTGCAGGACTGGGTCAGGGGTAGAGGAGAATCAGCTTTCTTGGTAGGTTGACCTTGTTCCACTAGATGGACCCATACCCATGAGCATATGGGCAGCACAAACTGGACTTGGTGGTTTTTTTTTTTTTTTAAGGACATGAAGTTGGGAGGGGGTGGAGGGTGGGATCTAGGAGGAGTTAGGGAGATAGGGAAAGGTGTCCGTTGGAGAGAATATGATCAAAATACTTTGTATGCATGTATGAACTTCTCAAAGAATCCCTAAAATATATTAAAAAGAGTATTGCATGTAAGATACTATATATTATTAGATCAGACAACTTCCATTCTACCTTTCTGGTTGAAGATGTTGAAAAGTTATAACTGTATCTCCTAGACTCCCTTGCAGATAGCCTTACAAGGGAGAATTGAGAATTCAGTTCTGACAATTAATGCACCAGAAAGATTTGAAAGGTGGTGGGAAAGTAGTAGTCATTTTCCTGTGTTTCTTTGATGTAACTGTTGATATATAAGGTTCTGGGAATGTGACCCTTTCTCATAGCAGTATCCCAGAATCCATTCTCCAGCTTCCTGGGTATTTCATAGTGGCTGTGACTTTAGCAAAGGTCATTTGTATTTTTTTTAAATGTATATATGTGTGTATTGCCTGCATGTAAGTAAGTGCACCCGTGTTGTGCAATGCCCATGGAAGACAGAAGAGGCTGTCAGATCCCCTGGAACTGGAGTTACGGACGGTTGTTAGCTGCCATGTAGGTGCTGGGATTCAAAACCAAGTCTTCTTCAAGAACAGGCAGTGTTCTTAACTGCTGAGCCATCTCTTCAGCCCTGGTTATTTGTATTTTTAGGACAGTGTTCTATTCCAGATATGGTCCCTGTGGCTACATATATTCTGGGACTCTTGCCCCTCTGGCCCAATAAATAGCATATGTTTAGCTAGGCTGATCAAAATTAATCTCTCTCTCTCTCTCTCTCTCTCTCTCTCTCTCTCTCTCTCATTCAGGTATAAATTCTAGTTCTAGTTCTATGTTTCCTTAAACTCTACAAGCTTAAGGAGCTTGAAAAGAACTTGTCATGCTTCAGAATTGTGTTCGTTTTTTGCAGGCACCGCCATGACATTCCAGGGGGATCACTCTTTAAGAGATGTGGCTGTAGTTTGTTGTTGGGTAGTTCATCTGAAAGGTCATGGAGAGTCTGAATTCCAACCACTATTGTCTGCTTGAAGAAGCAAAGAAAAATGAGTCTTCAACTTGGAAGAAATGGAGAAAAGAGGCAAAGGAAGCAGAGAGGAAGAAGAGACAAGGGTGAGCTGAAAGGAAGGCATGCCACGGTGCTTTGGTTCTTAACCCGCTTGCTCATACCTGGGCCTTTTAGGTCCTGGCAGCGCTGCTTACCTGGTTTTCAAATATCTACTTGTTAAATATTGTATTTATATTTCTTTATTATTTTTATTTTATGTGTATGAGTGTATTGCCTGCATGTATGTAAGTGTACCCATGTCATGCAATGCCCACAGAGGTCAGAAGAAGGTATTGGATCCCCTGGAACTGGAGTTATGGACAGTTGCTGCTATATGGGTGCTTGGAATCAAACCTGGGTCCTCTGTAAGAGTAGCCAGTGCTTTAAACAGCTGAGCCATCTCTCCAATCCCTCAAATTTCTTTTTAATTTAAGCCACCCATAGATTTCTCGTTATCTTCTTTTTAAATTTTCATTATTATTTTTTTAAATTTTCTGTATATGAGTGTATCACCTGCATATATGTAAGTGCACCTGTGTTGTGCAATGCCCAAAGGTCAGAAGAGGGCATCGGATCCCCTGGAACTAGAGTTAGGGATGATTGTAAGCCATCATGTAGGTGCTGGGAATGGAACCGAGGTCCTTTGTATGGGCAGCCAGTGCTCTTAACTGCTGAGCCATCACTGCAGTCCCTCTTTTATTATTTTTGGTCTTTTTGAGACAGAGTCTCCCTGTAGCCCCAGCTGGCCTGGAACTTGCTATGTAGACAAGGCTGCCCTCGAACTCACAGAGATCTGCCTACTTCTGCCTCTGGAGTGCTGGGATTAAAAGCATGTGCCACCACGCCTGGCTCTTTATCTTCTTCTTGAAGATAAAATAGTAAATCATCTTAAGAATCTTGAGAATTTTATGAATCTGATGGCAACATATCATTTATGCTGTATATTTCTAAATGTAAAGCTATAGAAGTCAATAAAGTCAGCTTTCTATGTCCCAATTATGAAGCCACGGCTGCCTCTAAACCTTCTGAAAGCTGTAGCGTGCCCACCAGGATTGCTAAACTCATATCTCTATATGTACAATAAAATTATATTATTATATTAGATTCCAGGATGTACTGGCCTGTATTCTTACTAATTGTCTGATCTCCGCTTTATATTTGAGCTTAGGGAGATGAAAGCTACATAAGATCAGACAGCTAGATGTTAGTTCCATTGTGAATCTAGGCCATTAACACAGTCTCACCATGCTTCTGTTTCATAACCATAGACACTAGAGAGATAGTAAGGAAAGAAGACCAAAGTCCTCGACTGTGTAGGGCCTGCGTTCTTGTGGAGGGAGGTGGAAAAATACAAATGAACCTGTCAGGAAGGAAAACCATGACAAAGGGTCTGCAAAGGGACAAAGCAAGGGTGTGTATGTGTGTGTGTGTGTGTGTGTGTGTGTGTGTGATGAACTGACCAGAGAAGGCTTCTTTGGAATTGAAGGAGTGAGTGATATGGCTATAACAGGACAAGAATGCTTAAAGTAGAAGGAGAAATGCTCCATGGTGCTTCTGAGGGTCCATAGTAGTGGAAATCTCTTCCTATTTGTTGTACAATATGTGAACACTATGGATGAACACACTTTTATTAGTGGTCTGGTTTCCCACTTTTAATTTTAGAACTCTTTCCTCATTTATTATCTCCACTGCTATAATGTGAAGAAAGCCACAGAAAATATAAGCACATATATGCACACACGCATACACACACATGCGTACACAACACACACACATACACACATACACACACACACAGAGCTGGATTCCAATGAGTCTTTGCAAAAGCAGGCTGCAGGTTGCATTCAGCCAAATCCGAAGCTATAGCATTGAGAAATTGCCAAGCAAAATAAAGGAAGTACCTAAATTTCTTTGAATTCTGATAGATTCCAATAAAACTTTGGTTTAGTTGCAATTCAGAAGAAAATTAAATCAATAATATTTTCTTGGGAACTACAAGCCCTGGTTTCAGTAGTTCCTGCTCTCCTTTCTGCATCATATACTGGAAAGAATTAAAATAGGAGGAAAAAGTTTAGGGGTGCCAGACATATTAGAGTTAAAGTGCTATTGCAGTTAAAGATATCACTGTGAACACAATATGATTTGTAGTATTCTACAATAAATGTGGAAGTTAGTCCAGGAAATACTGTAACAGTTGTATAGTTACAACCTATAAGTGCCAATTTAGTCAAGTAAAAAATAGTGCACTTGAGTGCAATTTAATGTGACAGAAGATTTTTATGAACTTGGAAGTCTGATTATAATCATAGTGAATAGACCCAAGAGGCGCCAAAGGGCTTTTACTTGAGATTTAAAAATATGGAATAAGGGCAAGGTTGCCTTAGTGAGTAATCAGAGCTCCTCTTAACTGCTATGTAGTCCATAGCAAGAAATATTAAAACAAAATGAGACAGAAGTGTTTGAACAGCAATAACCATGAGATGACACAAGGAGGGGACACTTCCCTTTGGACAGTGACACTCAGCTGGCACTGATGGGATATACAGAAGGGGAGAATGAAATGGAAGAGGAAAAAGAAATGATTTAACTCTGCCTGCCTGCACTGTAGTCTGCTATACAACTGCTGGCAGCCCAAGCAGCAAGCAAAACAGCAGAATTTAGGAATATATTCTCCTCAGGTTGACACAGCCTCAGATAAGGGAACTCTGCCCCTTTGAGGGAACTCTGTCTCCCTGGTTGTTGACTGATCCTAAGATCATCCTGTCTCCAAGATAAATACTGTAGATTGTGGCTTCGTGTTCTTCCTCACTCTGAAGTGTCACAGAGTCACAGAAATGGTGTCCTTGCTGGAGCTGATTTAGAAAATTCAAGTGGAGTTGTTCTCCAGCGTTGAATGCTACTTTCAGTTGCCAGTGGATCTGGGAATTATTCCCACTCCACGGAATATCCAAGAATACGGAAAGAGTCTTCATTGACACTTCCTCCCACCGATGTGGGCAGCACGAACCTTGAATTTTGTTTCCGTGGTTAGTGTGTGAGGCCGAGAGAAAGTAGCTACTTGTTTACTAGTGATTGGGAGTACATATTAAAACATGGAAAGGGGAAAGCATGCTGCCTTCTTAGGATTGAATCAGTAGGTGACAGATACATTTAAAACACAGAAATGTCCTGGGTCAGAAAGAAGAATGGCAGGGCCTGGAAATCTAATCAAATCTAGATGCAATGTGGGAGGAAGTGGTACCTGAGGGGTGTTTCTCTAACACCTGAAGGACTGCTCTGTAAAGAGGAAGGCTGAGCAGTGAGGTCAGGACAAGAAAGGGATCCCAAGGACTCTCAGCAAAAGTGCTCTGAGCAGCCGGTGGAATGCTTCTGCCCTACTGGCTGGTGTACTGCTGCTGTGATGCTATTGTTACAGACTCTATTAATTGTAGCCAGGTATGGTGGTGCACACCTTTAGTCCCAGCACGTGGGAGGAAGAAGCAGGCAGAGATCTGTGAGTTCAAGGCCAGCCTGGTCTACATAGTGAGTTCCAGGCCAGCTGAGGCTACAGGGAGATCCTGTCTCAAAAAAGACAAAAAAAAAAAAAAAAAAAAAAAAAAAAAAAATCAGAATCTATTAATTGTACTGAGCACTTTAGGTCATGGTGTCATTCAGTCCTGACAAGACCTTAGGGAGACTGTCATCCCCACTTTACACTGGGTTCACAAAGGCTCAGGGAGGTTAAATGAGTTACTCGTGTTGGAATGGAAGACCACAATCTTAACTTTCCACTCCATTGCCCCTAGTGCGTGCTTTCTTCCTAGAGGTAGGGGTTTTTTAGGCCATTACAGACAATAAGACCCATCCAGGTCTTAATTTTATTCTTGCTGACAATGTCAACTGGGGTAGAACCAAATGCCATAATAAATAGACTCCAACGTGTAATGTTTCAGACACAATGACAAATGTTCTATGTTTAATGCTGTGCCCAGCTCAATAAATATTAGCTATTATTATGAACCCAACGCACCTTCCTAAATCACTTTGGCATTATTATCCCATTTTACAGAGGGATAATAAACTCATGCTTTTAGTTATAGAGAAATTCAATGAGTTAAACTGGGGAATAATTTGCCAAATATCTGGCTTACAAAAACAAGTTCATTATTATCTATCTAGATATTTTCAACATTATTCAGATATAAAATGTAGCTGTCAAAATCCCTCTTCATCTCCTCTCTGAGTCAGGTCTGAAGCTGTTCCACACCCACAGCCTGCTGGCAAACGTTATGGGAGCATACTTGCTGACACAGACCAAAAGTCTGACTGAATAGCCTTTTATTTTCAAAGGAGACCTTTTAAAATACATTCCTTTAGTGAGTAACCACAAGGCGAGATTATACTTTAAGAAAACAAGTTGGAATGCAGAAGACAGAGTTTTTAAAAAATATTATTTTACTTTTTTTAAGTCAGAAACCATATGGAATTTTCACTTGCATATAGCTCATAGATGACTTTCCCTGGCTTTCTTGAAATCCGAACCTCCAAAGTCCAAGCTTGGCAGTGTCTGCAGATAGGCTGGTGTCTGGAACTGACTTTGAGAAGGTGGGTCTGTCACCCAGGATGGCTGCTCAGGAAGGAAGCGAGACTTGTGGAGACAGAGTTCAGAGACAGTTTGTCCTGCTCTCAACTCAAAACCCTAACAATTTTTCTGTTTCCGCAGTAGAAAAGTACTCCTCTTGTCTTTCTTTTTTAAAAAATATTTTGTTTATTTATTTTAATTTTATGCATATGAGTGTATTGCTTGCATATATGTAAGTGCTCACAGGTCATGCACTGCCCACAGAGGTCAGAAGAGAGTGTTAGATTCCCCTGGAACTGGAGTTATGAATGGTTGTTAGCTGCCACGTGGGTACTGGGAATCAAGCCCAGGTTCTCTGCAAGAGCAGTCAGTGCTCTCACAGGCCCTAACAAGGGGGAAAATGGGAAAAGTGAGGTGGAACTTTAACTGGGGAGTAAGGACGAAGGGTAATACAGAAGGAGAGGGAGGAAAGAGAGATAAAAAACACTAAAGATGTCTGAAACC